AGAGAAGGAAGCAAAGGGCGAGGAGAAGGGGGGGAGGGAGGGAGAATTCCAAGGTGATTTTCTCCTTCTACAGATTCAGAGAAACATAGGACACCTTTGGTAAAATCTCTACCAATCTTTCCTAGCACTGTAGGAACTTTGTACAGAAGTTTCATGCTGATTCTTAAAAGTACTTCTTCTTGTTCTCTTTGGTCTACTTTTATATCCTGTAATTTGAGTATTCACTTAATTACATATAAATTGGATGTTTTCATATTCAATTCAAAGTCCACCAGACAAAGAACATAACCCAAACTGAGAAGGTCACAGAGGTCTTCTCCTGGCACAAATAAAAATGGACCCAGTCATGCATTTGACAGAGAGAGTCATCACCGATAAAGGTCTTTGCTCCAAAGATCAGGGGACAAAGAAATTCAGCCGGAGCGGTGGGGAGGGAGCGTTTCCTACCCGCAGAGACGACAGCTGCCCAGAGAGGAGAAAGGCAGCTGATGGCCACGTTGCTGGGAAGATTCAGCAGCCCCACACGTGAGCGCGTCTTGTCCGAAATGAGTGAGACTGGAACCAAAGAAGCACGCACATTTGTTTAGATCTTTCTGGCAGGTTTTCACGTATCAGCTCTCCAGGGTGGCATTGACTGGTTTCCAGTGTCACAGCCGAGCCCCCCTCTTCAGCGTCGTGTGTGCCTGTTCCCAGTCGACTGGTTGTACCGGATTCCTCTCCGTTCACTAGTTCTTGTGCAGCTGTTGTACACCTCAAGGGGTGGATAAATACCTGTCCATATTTTATGGTTTTCCCCACAAATACTAGAGCTCTTTCTAAAATTGAGATACAACAAATGACCTTTGGCTGTTTTGTTTTGTTTTGTTTTGTTGGTGAAAAGGATAAATACTGAGGATTATGGTGCCCTTGATATAGAGATTGTTTTTAATGAGAGAAGCATCCTGCCTCAGTTATTACTCCTGGCATCTCAGTAAATGAGTTAAACTGAAATCTTCACTTGAAATGAAGGTGGGAAATCTGAATTGTACAGATTAGCAGTGAGTGCAAACGCAGGCAGCAAATTGGTGAAACAGCTGAAATTCAAACCAGGCTCCGAATAAAACCACTTTGAATTTCCCAATAAGTTACATAAGCTGCACAAATAAAGAACACATAGATATTCTTTATGTAGATAGATAGATGGATGGATGATAGGTAGTTTGAGAGATAGATAACAGATGTTAGAAACAGACAGATGAGAGATAGATACATAGATAGATGCTGGATAGATAGATAACGTAAGATAGATAGATAGATAGATAGATGATAGATAGAAGATTTAGACAGAGAGACAGAGAGAGAGGGAGAGAGAAAGATACTATAACAAATTCATCTGCGGTAGTCCTCGTTACTAACCTGAATTATAAAAGTGGATCTCAGGTTGTTTGCCCTGGGATTTAGCTCTAAGGAGAATTACGTTTCTACTAAACAGTGATGTGCATGAGTTCCTCAAGGCCAGCATCTGCAATTATTTTTCTCTTTTTTGTTTTAACCCTATATTTTCAAATATTCCATGAGAACTAAAAAATCAACTATAAGTCATTCAGGATTTCCTTCGTGGCATATTAAACCCACAAAGACAGTACAATCGTTTTAAGTTTCCTAATAACTATATTCGAAAGTGTTAATTTTGTTCTAAGTTACATTTTAACTTGTAGAATTTTCATTATTATTCCGTGGTTATAATTCAAATATTCTTCTTGATTCTGTTCACTCAAGGTGACTTAATAAAATGCTATCTAGGTTCTAACGTCTTGAATTTGTTCAGTTTTACTTTGTTGTTAATGTTTAGTTCTATCGCATCTTTTCACCACTTCCTTGGCTACGTTCACTGTTTCCCCACCCACCACCTTCGACAACCAAAAATTAATTTTCTGTTCCTGAGTTCAGTTTTTTCAGATTTCACATATAAGCATTATGGCCCTGAACACTGATGCTTTGGAATCTGTTGAGAGTCCCTATGTTCTGTAACAGACATAGAGATATTCTTGTAAATATTCCATTCTGCTCAAAAGGAGTATGTGTTCTCCAAAATCTAATAGCTTGAATATAATATTCTTAATCTCCAATAGCTCTAATGGTTGCTTGCCCAACCGACGTCTTTCTTGTAAGGGGGAGTTAACATCACCATGAATTTATTATTGGCCTATTTCTTCCTGTATTTCTTTTTGATGGTGTTTGATATATGTTTAGGTTATATTTTTAGGTGGGTATGTGTTTAAGACAGGCCACCTGTGACTTAGTATGCACACACACATGTCTCTACCTTGTTTCTAATGACAAGGATCATTATAAAAAACATTTTATTGTTTTAAAGATTTCAGTTATATAGTGGTCTAGGAAGAAGCTGGTACCATATATGCAGAAACTGTTTTCTCATATGTACCATGTTGAATAACTCAGTCTCTTTTAATGACAAATATTTTAAAGCCAGGCTCCATTTTTGCAACTGTAGCCATAAGTAGGATTTCAGATTTTCCATAGTTCTTGACTCTGCCAAAATTTTCACTTCCAGGTACTTAAAGATGTGAGAGGGCTGATGTTCTCTTGGAACAAGGTTTTGATTTATTGAAAGATTTATCAAATGCTTTTCTACCAATGTAAGTAAATAAACCAATAAAACTCCTGTTTTCACAGAAGTCTTATTTCCAGGAAGAAGCAATAAAATGAGTATTGTGAAATTAGGTTCAATAAACGTCATTCTACAATAAAGTCTTTTTACTGAAGCTTGTGTGAGACCTCCAGACACTTGTCAAACTGGCCGCCCTAAGTGTCACCAGCATGACCTGCAGATGAGACAAAGCTGAGGTTATCATTATATTTCCAGGAGTTGTAAAGGAGAACAGCTTCCCACAGAGTGTGGTGAGAGCCTCAGAGAGGGCAGGTTAAGTGCAGAATTCATTGAGAATTGAAAATCTGATTTACAGCACACCCTTCACAGGGGTCACTTGATTAGGGTTGGGTAAGGATCATGATACTCCAGACCAGGATTGGTGGAAACAGAAAAGCCAGGTCCCTGAGATGAGAGATTCAAAGTCTTAAAAGGAGCACATCGCCTACTGATGCTTCCCTTGAAGCGTTTTATGGGTCTTGCCCCAAGTTCCTGGAATGAGCAGTCAAACCATTTGCTAGAGTTACAGTTTCTGGAAAGAAGTGCCGTTGAAGACAGTCTAACAGCAAAGTCAGTCACACCAATGCAAAGTAAGCTGTGTGCAGGTGTACGAGGGGATGGTTTACGTCTCCAAGTTTGCTCCCTTACTACCCTCTGTATTCATGTCTTTTCGTGACAATCTACCCTGAATTCATTTCAGACAATATTAAACCCATTCATCCTCCACTTTGGTTCTTTCGTGACACAGGAGATCTTAACTTCAATCAGCAAGTTTCCCTTTGAACTTATGCCTAGAGACCCATGACTTCTATGTGCACGGTCACCAGAGCCACACACGGAAGTACCCCTAGACTAAGACACGTGTCAGGGCGGCGTCTTTTTTTTTGGTCTTCTTGGTACAGCTCCCCTGCTGCACACCTGGGGCTCTCGTACACCTGTCCCTTTATTACCGAGTCCAAGCTTGCTCTGCTCGCTGCACGACAGGCCAATAAACCAGAGACGAGGTGTTGAGGCAAGGAACACGACCTTATTCAGAAAGCCAGCAGACCGAGAAGACGGCAGACTAAAGTCTCAAAATACCATCTCCTCGGCGTTTGCATGCCAGTGTCTTTGACAGCACAGAGAGGGGGAGGAGATGAGGATGTAAAGTAAAAAGGCCGTAAGTTTTGCAAATATCCCCTGGAACGGCCAGCCTCCGGGAGGGGATGTGTTAGTTTCTTCTTTCTTGCAGCCATCCACAGGTGGGCAGGGTCAGGATGTTTCCCTGAACAAAGGCACTTCGGTTTAACATTCAGGCAGCGGGCCAGGGCTCCCCGAGGCAGGCCATTCTGTAGAGACAGTATCCTTTCAGTGAACAAAAGCAGTGGAGAGTCAAGCTTAAAGTAAAAGAAACAGATCCAACATGGGGTCAGAGCTGGCTCTTACCTGTTGCCCCTTCCCTTGCCCCTGACACTCTGACCTCACGCGGGTTCCCCACAGGACTTCCTCTCCTCACTCGGAGCCCGCGTCCCTGGACCCACCAGTGACCACTCTTCCCTCCCCTGAATTTCCCATGTTTATGCCTCGATTTGCTCCTTTGATCTCCAGTGTTTCATTGTCCGCCATGTGTTCTCTTCCATTATAATCCAGATACACCCACCATATCAATGTAAAATCCAGGATCATCATCATCTGTTTTTCCACCCTAATTCTCTGGATCCTGAGGCTTGTCTTGCACTTTGAACAAGTGCTGATTTAAGAAAGACGTTATCAGCAGATCAGATGAAGTTTTTAGGGGGGGAGGCTAGTGTGTTTAGAGCTTTTGTGTTTCTAGTGCTGTTGAAATGAAACATTTGGCTTTTCAACTAGTCACACTATTCTGTCAATAAATGTCAGCTGTAAGTGCGACCATTTCCTTATTCAGCTTCTACACTTTCTACTTAATAAAATCCCAAAACACATTGTTGGGGTTTTTAAATCCATCATTCTGAATTGCTCAGAAAGTAATGTAGGGCTTCCCTGGTGGCACAGTGGTTAAGAATCCACCTGCCAATGCAGGCGGCACGGGTTCAAGCCCTGGCCCGGGAAGATCCCACATGCCGTGGAGCGACGAAGCCCGTGCGCCACAGCTACTGAGCCTGCACTCTAAAGCCTGTGAGCCACAACTACTGAGCCCGTGAGCCACAACTACTGAAGCCCACGCACCTAGAACCCATGCTCTGCAACGAGAGAGGCCACCGCAATGAGAAGCCCACGCACCACAACAAAGAGTGGCCCCCTGCTCGCTACAGCTAGAGAAAGACCGCATGCAACAACGACGACCCAAAGCAGCCCAAAATAAATAAATACAATAAATTTTTTAAAAAAGAAATTAATGTAAATATTTTATTTTTATAGAGAAGACAGGAAAAATCGTTTCCCATACTCTGCATCAAGAAGGTGTTGATTCATAAGAGTTCAAGTTTATGGGAGCTGGGTGCAGCTTAGCTCCCCGGAGCCCCATGGTGGCCAAGTGGAGAAGGTCAAGGCCATGATGACCTCTTCCTGTGACAACTCCACACACAAATACAGCTTGACACCTGAGCCACCAAGCGATTCATCCAAATTCCCACAACAAATATTTCCCAAATGAGGGCTGCATAATAAATATTTGTTTAACAAATTAAACGCTGTAAAGGGTCAGGACCGTATATTCTTCTCATTGGGAAACTTCTCCAAATTCAAGAATTTCCCTTCACAGGCAAAAAATTCCAAAGGAGGAATCTAATCTATTTTTCAGGATTTAGATTACTTTGAGAGGCTTAGAAGATGTTTGGAAAAGAATATTTTCCCCTCAATTTGACATGGCTTGGTTTCTTCAAATATACTCAAGTGTCTACACGTAATTTCTCTTTGTTAGATGAACGGCTCCATTAACATCCTAAATACTAGGCAAAGGTCTTCAATTCTGCAAAATTGTAAAAATGAATAAAACAATTAAGCTCTTTAATGCGCTTCCAAGCCAGAAGGTAACATAAGATTTTTTTTTAATTCTACCATTGTTTACTGTCATGCATCTATGTGTCTTCACATCTAATTGCTATTGCCTCATTCAAAATGCATTACTCACTTTATGTCCGGACATAATCAGCCTGGCATTTTCCCCGGATGTGCTGGGTCACATTAAAAAACAATGATAGCAACTCTGTGATAAATATTTGATATTCCAGGATCATGTATTCATAGCATTGATCTAAAAAGCTGTTATAAAAATAAGCTTATGACTCCAAAAGTCTATCACTTACAGTTTCAAAAGAGTAGTCATTTTCCCACATCCATTTATTATTTATAATAGCTGTGTGCACACCACTCTGATAATTACAACTAGAAGGTAAGTGCAACCGTTAATGACTCAAGATGCTTAAAAGTATCTCTGCAGAAGTTAAACCACTTGAGTGTTTTTTCCTTGAAAGCTTGTAAATATATCTTTAGAGTAAGATTGATTACGTGTAGCTAAAATTGTGGATTATGATAAAGAAATGGCATCACCTGTCAACATCACAATGCAGAGGTGGTATTAAGAGTGCCAGCCGTGGAAGAGAAGCCGTGTGTCTCCAGAGGATGACCTGGCATCACCTGTGGTTCCACAGAGGAAAGGTCTGGCGGGCATCTGAGGATGAGGAAGCTGTCACCAGGCAGGGAACTCGCCCGGCCGCCTGCACGGCCCTCCTGCCGGGGAACCTCCTGGTCCTGACACAGAAAACCCACCTGTGCAGGAAATGAAACAGACACCCAGGAACATACTAGTGGAGTCTGACACTTTGGGGCCTGGTGAAAGTGAAACTTGTGGTCCAAAGGGGAAAAAAGCTGGTTTTCAGTTCACCAGAATTATCACACGTTTCTTCCCAGGGATCTGCCCCGGGTCAACTGTGGACAGGGTTGTCAGGGAGGGAGGGGGAAGGACACAGGCAGAGAAGGCGCGGGGCCTGGGCTGCATCTGATGGAAGCAGTGTCTGCTGTTAAGGCGTTATTTCTGCTTCTCCCCTCCTCGCCGCCCCCCGTTCAAGTAATCTGCTTCCCAAGCATCTACTGGATATCAAAGTCGCGACTCCGCCACCAGAGGAAAGGGACCAAGGAGGCTGTCAATCAGGTTTATGCCTCCACCCTAATTTTATGTCTAACAACGTTATGTTCTACTCACAGAGCAAATGTCTTATTGATTCTCTTGAGCAATGCTCGGCGTTGAGTTTCCTTCGCCCGTTTCTACAGATGAGTCTGAACATAAAGTCGTTATGACTCAGGCCGCGTGGGACTGGCTGGGACACATGCTCAGACGTGATCCACGGGAAGTAAAGTCACATCTCAGCCAGACAGAGAGAGAAATATCACACGATTTCACTTATATGTGGGATCTAAAAAATGATACAGTTGAACTTATTTACAAAACAGAAACAGACTCACAGACACAGAAAACAAATTTATGGTTACCAAAGGGTAAAAGGGATGAGAGAGGGCTACATTAGGAAGTTAGGATGAACGTACACACCCTACTGTACATAAAATAGACAGACAACAAGGACCTACTGTACAGCACAGGGAACTCTGCTCAATATTATGTAACAACCTACATAGGAAAAGAATTTGAAAAAGAATAGACGCATCTATATGTATAACTGAACCACTTTGCTGTACACCCAAAACACAATATTGTAAATCAACTATACTCCAATATAAAATAAATTTTTTTTAATTAAAAAAAATAAAATGACCTCTTCTTCCCTGAGTCCCTGTGAAATGGTCATAACAAAGTTCCAGGTACGGGGTATGTTGCTGTCAATATTTTTTAATACATTTGGAGAGTGCAAATTCTGTTCTGACCGGTTCCCAGGGCTGTGTTTGGGTGTCTCCTCTGAGACCTCAGAGCTGCCTCTGCTTCGTATAGGATGTGCTGCTCTTTCTGTATCACAAAGTAAAGTTCCTGGGAGGCCAGGGCCCCCCAGCGATGTGTGACTCACGACCCTCCCGTCCCATCTCACTTCTCTCAGGCCACTGCGGCCCCTTTTCCCGTCGCACCTAATTTTCTTTCTTCCAGGGAAACGTTTCTCTAACCTCGTTGTACGTGTGTCCTCATTTTCACTCTGAGCTCAGAGGCGTCTAGAGAAGCTGTCCAACGACGCCCAGGCTGTAGCCCATTTAAGATGAGTCACTAACACTTCGCATCAACCTGTTTACTTGACTGTGCCTGCCTCTCCCATGAGGATACAAGCACCATCAGTGCAGAAGCGTATTTGTCTTATAATCCCTGCAAGACTGTCGCTTTATTTAGCTGGGTGCTGGGCTTTTATCACTGAGAGAGATCTTGACAGACTTATTTCTTTCAGTCTGGAATCCAGGACAGGGCCCGTCCCATTCTTCGCGCTCTCTTCAGTCTTATCCGTTGCTTTATGAAATCTGCCCCATCCTTGCTGGAGTTCAGTTCTCTTTTGCAGTGTGCTTTTAGAAATGGCCAATGTTTGCCACACACACAAGGACTCTCACTCTTTCCAGCCACATTTCCAGGCTTATAGAAGGAATATCGTCACAGCAGGTGGGCGGCCTTGCGCTGGTTATTTCAGCAACAGATCACCCGGTGTTCCGACGCTGCGTAGACACACCTGCTGCTTCCAGTCTGTGGTAGCTGCCCCTTTTCTACCCTCTGAGCCCTCCCTAAGCCAGTGCTGTATATCTGCACTTACATAGCAACGAATCTGTCATCTTTTCCTGTGATATATTCTTGTCATTGACCAGGGATGAGTTTAAAGACATACCCAAAGAAGGAATTTTTATTCTTTAGGGAATTGTCATTGCTTTATATAAATGTTCTTTTATTTTGAACAGAGATAATGAAATTAATGGAAAGACACTATCTTTATTTATATTTTTAATACCAAAACGATATATTTAAATCATATTTTAAAAGATATACAGTAAAATAACTTTTTGCCTAATTGAAGGATGCAAAATAAGGTGCAACAAACCAAACAGATAAATACCAATCAGTTATGCCTATGTTACCTCAGCGCTTTTATTCTACTTATTTTTCCCCAGAAAAAGGTGTGTGTGTGCGTGTGTGTGGCCTGTCTTGCTTTGCTACACGTCTAACGCTCCAGCACATCAATGCACCACACTGTATTTACGCATCTGCAGAGTGGCCAACTCTTTACTAGCTGATCACTTACTTTTTTACTTTTTTGTTCTTATTGCTCCAACAAACAGCCCTGGATTCCTGGGCACACTCATCCTTCCCAGCGTGGTTCTAAGGTAGATACTAGGGTGATAGCTGTCGAGTTTTAGGATATGTCCAGTTTCAGCTCTACTGCCTTCTTCCAAATTGTCCTTCAAAGTGATATTCCAATTTACATCACAGGCAAAAATACCCATTTTTTCCCTTTACTCTATCACCAACAATTACTATTCTTAAGGGGTTCATTTATGTCAACAAGAGAAAATGTTGGCTCATTACCATCTTAATGTCTAATATTCTGTGTATAATGAAATTGAGCAACTTTTTACTATTGTATCTGCCGTTTGAGAGCCGTTCTCTGTGAACTGCCTCTTCATAACGCTTGTCCAGTCTCAGCTTCTTTTTATTGGATTGCTTCTAATTAACTTGAAATGCTATAAGACAGACTTATGATTATTTTGAAGTGTTTGTGTTACTGTGTTGATTTAATGCATGTTTTTGTGTGTAGACGAATTTCATATATTTAGTGTGTATGTATATGGTATATTCAACCCTTTTCAATGTAGTTCTATATATAGGGAATTCAATTGTTCCCAAATGACTTATTGGCGATTCTGTTTCTTTGAATATATCCTCGTTCCTGCTGCAGCGGACGGGGTTGCTAAACCACTCATGTACTTTGAATGTAGCTTATCTGGAATGGGTGGGGTATTTGGCTGCATAATCCTGGTGGGATCAGTGCTAAGAAAAGAACAGAACTGCAAAATAGTAATGATAACAATGGTGATGATAATAGTTCTTTGAAGCAATACTATTGCTAGAGCTGGCGTTAGTACTTTTACTCTCATTCTTTGATTTATGAGGTTGGGAGATGCCCCCCCCCCCCACCCCGGCCCTGCCCCGGCTCCACCTGTACCAGGTGTGGGATGGAGCAGCTCCTCCCCCTTGCCCCCAAAGAGCCTGTTTTCTCTCTGTCCAGGGTGGGCTCACAGGTGCAAATAAGGTAACACAAGCAGAGCACTGAGAAGGGTCCTGGCACCGGGGGCTCGGTCATGCCGGCTTTCTGGCTGCGGCTATCACGGAAGTGGAAAAAGCAGCACCGGGTTCTGACCTTTGTAAAGAAAACCGGGATCCAGTAGAGATCATGATCTCTGAGTATCAGAGGGAAAAAGTAAACTTATCAGTAACGAAAATAAATCGCGGTGATACTCTTATATGTTACATTCATTCGAGAATCCCTTTTCATTCAGTAACTTTATGAAGTCATGGCATTTTTCGAGTCTATTTTATTGACCCCTTACCTTTGCGTTTGACAGACTGACCTGACGGATGACTCCCTGCATTTAAGCAACGAGCTTCACACCTCGGCTGTCTGGAAAAGCACTGGGAGCATTTTGGACTAAATGAAAATGGTGCAGTTACGGTAAGCTTTGAATAAAATTCAAAAAACAACTCGGGAAAATTATGAAAGCTAATTAGAAGAAAGAGCTGCAGGGTAAGAGGGGTGAATGCTCAGTCTGACGCTGGCTGGTGGGTCAGAGTCGGCTTGCACCTGAAAACTTTCTCAAGATAGAAAAGGAAGCTGCCGAAGAGAAAAACCGCTTCTCCCAGCAGGACGCTGAGCGCCCTGCGCCTTGGCCACAGTGCTCTGTGCGTCACGAGAGCAGATGCTTTCGTCAGAAAGGCCTTCCAGTTACAAGTCACACGCTCCCGTGTCTTAAAGAACCTCGAGCCGGCTTCGCGGGCTCGTGTGGGGAAAAGGAAGTAGAAGTTTGCTTAACTTACCCTTCAGCCTAATGATTCAAGGGCCACAAGCCTGGACTCATACGCTCTGCAAATGAGAGAGAATCACATATACAGTGCACCGTAAAGATGAATGGACATGATGCTCCTTTTCCCCAGTTTACCAATGTCGCTAGTCAAAGGCAGACACAACATTTGTATATACTAGTTAAACAGAGGAAAAAGCGCTATTATCTTCTTTGATGAAAAATCTCCTAAAGTCAATATCATACCCTTTACAAAATTAAATGAAAAGATTTGAATGTGCCAAGTTCAAACATGGAATGGAATATTACTGCTCATATTAAGTAGAGCTGTAATCGTCTTTTCCACCAATTAATAGACACACAAAAATAATCGTATCTGACATGCCTGGGTACTGTCATTGACCGTTAATTTTGAGAGTCTGACAGCTACTGAAGACCCTGGTCTCTTTCAGCACAGACATTATTATCCCAAGATGTGGACTGCGTCTGTGCAAGAGGAAAAGTCTGCCTCCTTAATTCAAATTAAAATCCCTCGCACACCATTTAACTGCATGATAGACTTAGGAGTGACACAGTAAATTCTGGTGTGGTTTGGCAGTCCAGTATGCTATAAATTGTTGTGAATCGTGTTTTCAGTTAATAAGACAAGAATGTTTTATGCAACTGACACAGATCGAATGTAGTAGTACATGTAAGTGGGCAGCATTTAGACTCACACACCTGTACGTACACACCCACGAGAATCAAACCACAAGGAACTTGAAGTCCTTTTGAAAAGACAAAAGATACGTAATTTTCAAGTATTGAAAGAATCAAATAATCAATTTGATACTGTTTTTTCTATACGATTTCATTTAGGTTTGACCTTCAAAAAAATAGTGAAGAATCTACTACCAACACTTTATGCACGAAAAATATTATTTCATTGAAAATACAATCAAATAGCAGATTTCTAAAATAGATGCATCCTCTGTTTTATTTACTTATATTTCCATTTTAATCTCTGTAACGTAACCAGTTACCTTCTGGTTGTAAGGATTATCAAGAAACTCAATTTTAGTCATAATTCACTTTGGTTCTTCTTGCTAAAGGTATTAGTTTTGAAGAGATGTGTGCCAGCCCTGGCTATGTCATGAAAATCAGTATTTCACCTTCTAATGTACAATTTTTGCTGCTGTGGCATGTCAGGATCACAAAACCTGTCTCCTACTTCCGCTCCAGATCGTCACCCCTGCTTTTTGTGCTACTATTATCATACAGTTTACTTTTCAGTTAATACAAAGTCCACAATACGTTTCATTTATTTTTGCCTTAAATATTTGACCATCACTTTAAAAAATACGAAAATATTTTTCTTTATATTTACTTATGTAGTCAACATTTTCAGCCCTTTTAATTCTTTTTGTGTTTTTTGTTTTTGTTTTGTTTTGTTTTAATATATTCAAGGTTTTATACAAAAGCGTTTTCTTCTGCTTGAAGGCCCTTCTGTAGTGCCAGTCTCTTGGTGACAAATTCCCTCCACTTTGTTTTCTGAAAAATGTTTTTCTTTTTTCTATTTTTCAAAGATATTTCCACATGGCATAGATCTAAATGACAGACTTTTTCCTTGTGGTACTTTAGCGCTGCCGT